GTGTGCACCACCATAGCAAGTTAGTTTGAGCCCTTTCTGATCTCTCCTATTCAAGCACCCTCTCTGAATCTCCCAGATCTGTACTTACTGCCAACTCTTTCCACAACTCCAGGGGCACCATTCATTTTATAAAATATGTAGAGTCCCATATGGGACCAGAACCCCCTCCCTTCTCCCAGATCTCTTCTCCATCTTAGGAGGGACTGTCAGCATGATGGCTGTTTAGTGTCCCTGTTCCTAAGACACTCAAGGGTCTGCAGAAATCACTCAGTGCCCCTGTGGCAACATTTCCATTTGTTGATATTCTGGCCCATCTGCACTGGGATGTGGGCAGTGAGCCAAGGCCAGGGCCTCCCCAGTTTCACTCTGAGGACACATCAGATATCAAAAAGATGACACAAGATAGGTATTGGGCTAGCAGATGTTGAGGGCCGAGGGACTAACTGTGGCTCCACTGGGCAGTGGCCCCAAACCCTTGGATGCTGTATTGTCTCTGGTATGTGCCCACAGCAGGTGTCTGCACCTCTGCCCTGGCCCCAGGAACTTTTCCAGACAGTCCTCTTGCTCCAAGATAGGGGCTGTGGACCCATGAGACTAGAGACTCCTGGGGGCTCGCAGTCATTTGCAGACCTCTGTGTGAGGTCACTTCTTCCTTGTTCTTTTCAAATGAACCACAGTCTTGGGTCCCTCCCCCTTCCCACCTCCCAAATATGCTGCCATCCCAGAGGGACAATGGAAGGGCACTAAATCTGTTTCCTAAACACCAGCCCTGCTACTGGCTGTGGGTACAGTGCTTACAAGCAGCCACCGTGCCCAGGGTTAACATGCTGAGTGCCAGATCTGGGGCACTGCACCTCCTGTTGGGAATTATTTCAATTCAGGCAGTCCCCCGTACTGTTGTATAATCCCCCAAGAAATGAGACCCACTGTTATCTGATGTGTTTTAGGGGTTCTCATGGTGCCAGGGCTTGTTTAAAGGCAAATGTAGAATTCTCTATTTTAATCACTGAAAACTGAGTGGGGCTGAGGGGTTTTCTGTGAGCTCCAGTAGGGCATTGTCCCTGACCAAGGAAGTTGGCAAGACAGATGAAAAAATCATGATCTGGGAAATTGCTACCAATTCCATCCCCTTATCTGCCTGCATTATAGCTTGGGCACAGCATCCCCACCCCTATCACAGGCCAGAACAGCAGGCAGTTATCCTGTTATTCCAGAAAAACTTTGGTATAATCTAGCCAGGGAAGGAACTCTATTTTGCAGCTACTTGACAAGCTTTATCTGTACTAGAGATTGAACCCAGGGTTGCTCTACCACTGAGCTACACCTCCAGTCCTTTAATATTTAAAAAGAAAATTTGGGAGAGTGTCTCACTAAATTGCCAAGGCTGGCCTTGAACTTGCCATCCTCCTGCCTCAGCCTCCTGATCACAGGCATGTGCCACTGCACCCAGTGAGGACCTTTTCATATAAACACAATAAAAGCAAACCTGGGGTTACTGAACACAACAGAAGTATGACAACTGGCTTTACAGAAAGAATTATAGAAGGATTCTCCAGGCTCCTTTGAAACCATAACTTCTCTCTAGCTTTTGAATATATTTTTCCTTCAAAGATATGATGGACTGATTGACAACTTTCCTAGCATGTACCTGTGGTAGAAAGAAAGGGCTACAAAAGTGGTGGCATTGTGGTGTTTTGTTCTGGTCACAAGTTTGACTAAAATTTGTTGAGGCCAAGGGATTAAATGAAGAGAGAAGCAACCAGGCATCTTGTCTCCAAAGAACCTGGGGAGGTGATGATTTGCAGAAAAACATGAGGCCATTGGGAACCACTTGAAAAAAGAGACACAAAGAGGGACTGGGAATGTTGTCAAGGTGGAGGGCAAGTGAATGAACAAGTGAGAAGTTTGCCCACAAGCTGTGGGCAGCTGGGAGGGCCCTCAGTTCCTGCCAGGATCCAGGTTCTGAGGCCCTGACAGCAATCAGTCATGGTTGGAGAGTGGGGGGAACAGGGAGGAAGGAGAGAGACTGAGAGTCCACTGCTAGATGGTACAGCCTAGGCATCCATGGGCAACTCAGGCAACCCGAGAAGGGGAATTCCTGCCAACTCAGGGAATGAGCCATTGGCAGAGACAGTGTGGCTGTCGTCAGGAGAATGGTGATCTCAGCCTGGCTGGCCCCACCTGGCTGGGGCTCACCCAACACCTAAGTGGGGAGCCAGGTGGGGAAGAGCTGACAGGCTGTGGAACATGAAGGTCATAGAGAAGGGCAGCCAGGAAGGTCATTTGGGTGGCTCATGGCTCCCCAAGGTGAGGCAGACACAAGATTTTCTTCAAGGTGGGAGGGGGGATTTGCTTTGGCTACAACCTCCATATCATGGGGCAGCCATTAGTTCCAAGTGGCTGAGGAAGGTGGGAGTTTAAGGGATTCCTACAAGCCCTGGTCAGCAGGTCCCTGGCAGGCATTAGGGCCAGTCACCATGAGCTGCTCTACAATACTGAACACTTTCCCTGCTCTTCCAAAAGGGAGACCTTGCCTTGTGCTCCACCTTGAGGCTTCTGCCCTGGTTGAATCCATATACACTCACAGGAGGGATCCACGATTACTCCCTAGCAGCATCTGCCCTGGTCCTGGCACATTTTCTCCCGAGACCTGGGTTGAGGAAGCAAAATGAGGATAAAGATGATGCTGAAGACAGTCAACATTTACTACACACCAGGCACTGCCAGAGATACAAATTATCTCATTCAGTCCTCATCAGACCTTGTGAGGTAGGCTTATGATTCCCAATTTTCAAATAAGGAAAGTGAAGCCAAGTGCTGTGATGCATGCCTGCAATCCCAGCAACTCCAGAGGCAGAGGCAGGAAGATGGCAAGTTTGAGGCCAGCCTCAGCAACTTAGTGAGATCCTGTCTCACTAAAATAAAAATAAAAATGGCTGGGGATACAGTTCAGTAGTACTGTGTCCCTGAGTTCAGTCCCCAGTACCAAAACAAAACAAAAAAAGAAAAAGAAAAGAAAGAAAGAAAAAGTGAGGCTCAGAAGAGTTTAAATGACTGGCCTAAAGTCACGTAGTTCACTAACTTAATAGTGGTGCAGCTAGCTGGGCATAATGGCAATGTGTATAATCCCAGTGACTTTGAAAGCTAAGGCAGGAAGATTGCAAGTTCAAGGCCAGCCTCAGCAACTTAGCAAGACCCTAAGCAACTTAGTGAGACACTGTTTCAAAATAAAAAACATAAAGGACTGTGTCTCAGTGGTTAAGCACCCCTGGTTTCAATCCCCAGTACCAAAAAAGGAAAAAAGAAAAAAACCAACAACAAACTAATGGTGCAGCTGGAATAGACAGGGGTCTGTCTGATGTTACAAACCACTGAACTCAGACTGCAGATATAGCTCAGTGGTAGTGTGCTTGCCTGGCATGTGCAAGTTCTGGGTTTGACCCCCAGCCACCCAACACACAGAGACCACTAAACTCTTAGCAAAGGGTAAATATGTTTGTGTGTGTGTGTTCATTAGTGAATTTCAAGATCAAGGTAATAGGGTTTAGAGACAGTTGAGACCTACTGCAAACAAGTCTTATAAGCAAGAGCCAGCAGAGAACTAACTGTGTGTCTCCAGAATCCCTTAAAAAATAAGTGGAAAGTTGTTCTTAGTACTTGTTTCAGGGACTTGGCTATGGGTATCCAGGAGGTTTTAGGGGCCATTGTCCCAGTCCAGCCACTACATCTTTCCTTGGCAACCTGTAATCTACAGCCATCTTTGCTACCATCATCTGCCACCACCACCCCTGTCCCTAGCCCTGTGCCAGGGATCACCTTTTCCAAGGCTGAGGAGCCAGACAGATGCTAGTGGCTGGGTAAGTCCTTGAACTGCAGGCCCTTTGGCCACCCTTATGCCTCAGAGGGCACTCCTCCTCTGAGGTCCCTTCAGCTGCTTTCTGCCAAGGTCAAGGCCTGGCTGGATCGCTCCTCCAGACCATGCAGAGCCATAAGGAGTGACAATTTCCAGCAAACTCCTTCCTAGAACTTCATTGCTGCTGAACCAGGTGGGAGCTGGCATGGGTGTGGAGGCGGTTCAGAGGAGGGGCAAAGGGGAGATAGAATGGGAGACGGGTTCACATGGGCACTTCAAGTAGAGCAGATTGGCTTTGGACTGGAGAAGAAGGGTGGGCAGGAGCTTTCTCCCAGCACCACGACTCTGGTTGCCTTTGCACCTGCCTTGTCAGCCACATTCCCTCCGGCCCCTTTCCTGATTCCTATCCTCCCTGCCTTCCTCCGCAGGAGACTTGGGTTGGACTTCCCTAGGAGTCCCGGAAACTCTCCTGTCACACAAACTTCAACATGCATTTGACCAGGGATTCCGCAGGGGTTGTCTAAGTTTCCAACTTAGAGCCTCTGGGTATCACCCCCCGCTGGGCCCGTGCGGTCTGCACACAGCAGGCGCTTGATAGTGTTCATTACAGGGCCAGAGGCAAAGGCGTCAAACGAGTGGAGTGCACAGGCCGAGGTGGTTGGACGCAGCCTTCGAGTCCATTGGGAATAGGTTACTCCGAGGAACACTGTGTGTGTGTGTGTGGGGGGTTTCCCGCCCCGCAAGGGCCCTGGTTAGGGTTGAGGGCCCGGGGGCCCGCCCACAATGAGCGGAATGAAGGGGGGGCTGACCAGGGCAGCGTCACGCGACGTGGACTCTGCGGGAGCCCTGCCCCAGCTGTTCCCCGGGGCGAGCTAGCCGCGAGGGAAAGGAGAGGCCGCGCGGGCCCCTGGCATGGCTCCTCCTGCCGTGCTGGCGACCGCGGCGGGCCGGGGGTGGAGGGGCGCTGTTTCCACCAAGATGCCTCGTCCCTCCCTCGCTCCCTCCTCCACCCCGCCCGCCCGCGGTCCCTCCCGTCGGTCCCTCCCTCCGGCCCTTCCCTCCCTCCCGCCCAGCCTTCTTCGCGCCCGCCCCAGCCGCCGCCTGCGGGGACGTGTGTGTCTCTACTGCAATTTCCCCTTTCGTTCGGTTGTCTCAGTGCAGGTCTCCGCTGGCTGGCGCCCCCTCCCCGGGCGCCCCCTCCGCCCCCTCCCTCGCCCCGGCCGGCCCTCCCCTTCGTGTACCATTTCCCGCGGTGTTCCACTCCGCCCCCCGACTCGTTTTTATCAGGGGCGCCGCCGTCTCACCTAGTATTTGCATCTCGCCCTCCAACTTGCCATTGGTGGCGCGACGTGTGGGAGAGCCCTGCGCCTCGCCCGCCCGGACCAGCCTGCCCTGGCGCCGAGGTGAGTCACGGGCGCGGGGCGGCGGGGGCAGGCGGGCAGGGAAGAAAGAGGGAGGGAAGCAGGGAGGGGGACGGCGGCCCCGGCGGCCGCGGGGACGGAGCGGGCGCTGCGCTTGACTTCCACTTCTCGTTTCGCTGGCGCCGAGCCCCCGGCGCCTCTTGCCCGGCCCGGCTTCCGAGGGGTAAAGGCGCGCTGGCAGGGTTGGCGGGGCTGGAGACCCACGTCTCGGCCCCTGCAACGGGGAGGGGACCACGGCTTCAGACCCTGGCCCGGCGACCAAGCTTGGCCCATAAGCCACTCAGCTTCAGGTACGTCGATGGCGCCGGTTCTTTGAGCCTTCGGAGACCTCGAAAAGTTTGCTTGAGGGCGGTAGCGAGGGCCGCGGGGCCCAGAGTGGGGTTGGGGGCCCTGGAAAGGGTGGGAGAGCCGTGGCGCGTGGAGTGCCGTGCTTGCCTCGCCCCGCCGCGTGCATGGTGGGGAACCCGGGCTCCTGATACTGGAGTAGAAATGGAATCGATTTCCTGAGTCGGGTCGGGGGCCAGTTTTCCTGAGGCCCACTCCACCTAGTTCCGTGATAGGGCCGTTTGTGATAGCTGGGGGCCCCCAAAAGTCCAACGCCCGAGGGCAGGATGTTGGTGGACTGTGGCGGGGCTGCTAGATAGATTGAGCCGGCCCTTAGAGCTCCTGGGGCCAGGTGCTTTAGGGTCACACACATGCACGTACGTAAACCTATGACTTGGAGTATTGAATCGCCAAAATAGAGACCTCTTGGCAGAGGCTGGAGTTTCCGTGTGAGCCAGACGCCAGCCTTCCCGCTCCTGCGTTCCCGCTCTCCCAGCTTCTCCCGCCTATCTGTTCCCTCCCCTGCTACCACCAAGGGAACTCTGCAGACGCAGGGCGAAGAGTCCCCTGACGCCAGAGCCTTGCTTTGGAGGTTTGGGGGACTTCTGGGTTGGCAGCGACTTTGTGAATTCCTGGCCCCTCCATGGCACCTTAACCCTGTTATCCTTTCCTCGTGACTGTGCCTGCCACATAGGCTTCCTGACCAGAGCCACCTCCTGACCCCTTGGCACCTTGGCTCAGAGAAGTTCTCCAGGGTGCCCCCAGCAACACCACACCCCAGCTGAGGGATTTGATGGCCCTTTGATTCCTGTCCCTCATCCCTCTGCCCGAGATAGAGGCCTGTCTGGTCCTGCAGCTTCTTCTGGTTAATGTTTGACAGTTCATTGTGGCTAATCATTTTAATTAGCTCTTAAAGTGGGGAGGAACAGTTAACCTTGGACTTCTCGATTTTGGCCTGGTGGGGCCTCAAATGGGAGGAGTGCTAGGGAGCTGGGGAGGTAGGAACGGAAGTGAGGTCACCATCCCAGGGCCTGAGCCACCACTGCTGGCCCCAACAGCTGGTGGGCACGCCCATTGGGGACTCAACCCCTGTGCACTGACCCCTGGCCTCAATGCCAGGTTGGGGAGAGGTGAAGGGAACCTATGCTCACTCTCCCCTTTGGAGGGACAGGGCACTTTGGCACTGAAAATGCCCAGGGAATACGTATGCCCTGTAAGAATGCCAATCCCTCCTTGCAGTCGGTTACACAGGGTTTTCCTAGTTATAAAGTGCTTCCTCACCCATTAATTCAGTGCACCCAATGCAGAAACCGTCTAGCAGGAGTTATCTGAAGTAATGAGGATGATCAGGGAGATCCTGGAAGATGGTGTGGACAACTGCTGCCTTGCATGCGGTTGTCTCAGGGGCTGGGTTCAAAGCCTAGAACCTCTTGTTGCAGGGGACCATGAAACAGGCTCCACGTTGCCACCCTCACCCAGCCTCTTGCTGGGAGCCGAAGGAGTGGCTTGTTTGCAACTATGTCTGGCATTCCTCCCTCTGCTGCGCTGTGTTTGCTCGGTGGTTACTCAGGAACTGGCGCCCACCCCTGGACAAGCTGGGGGCCCCAAATCCACCCACCTTCCCTCACCTGGTCCTAAGTGGTGGCACAGTGGCTTCCATCTCCTCTGCCATTTACTGTGATCTAAAAATGAGGGTGTTCTGGTCCTTCTGCCATGGACCTGACAGATAGCATGTTCAAAATGCCCCTAATTCTGCAAAACTCAGGGCTTTTGTCCCACGAAGGCCCAGCCAGCTACCAGCTGAGGGTATTGCTTTTCCAGGGAAACTGCTCCTGAGTCTGTCCTGGGTTTTCTCCCTCCCAGCACCACACCCAGTTTTCTCATTTTACCTCTACCTCTAGAGCCAGCCTGTCTGGGTGGGTTGAAACCCCAGCTTTGTCACTTACTCCATGTGTGCTCCCAGTCAATCCTATGCCTCAGTTTCCTTATATGGCAAATGAGACCTATCTTGTAAGGTTGTGATAAGGACCAAATGTGTTAAAACATAGAAGTTACTTATTAGAACAGTGTGTGGCACACAGGAGGCATGAACTGGCATTATGATATTTTCTAATGTAGTGCCTAAAACTCAGATTCAACTCAGCAAATGTTTGCCAGGAGTAGGTCCCAGTACTGGGCAGTGAGGAAAATATGGAGACACCTCCTGCCTTCCAGGATTGTGTGTATCTTCCTATGTGGACTAGGGTGGTGGTGGGGGTGTGGGAAGGGGGGACTGGGATATTAGATAAGCCAGGCTTGAACCCCTGAGTCAGGCACCCCAGACTTGGAAGCTTCTCCTTGTCTGGAGACCCTGGCTGGTCTGGATCCTGCCTGCTCCCCAAGCCTGCCTGAAGGTTTGGGTGAAGGAGGTCTGGTCCTTGGATGCACTGTAGGTGGTAAGCACTGAGGAAGTGATTTGCTGGGTGTCAGGGCAGGATGGCATCACTTGGGACCACTCTCAAACACCCACAAAATTCTCCCAAGTGGCAGGACTCGTGCCTGATATGCCTCCTGTGTCTTTCTGGTGTCCTCTGCTAAGTTAGGAAGGGCCTTGGGTAGCCTTCTCTCTTCAGCCTGGGCCTGACCCCAACCTGGCCTTGGTTATCACTCCTGGGTTTCTAAACTGCAAAGAGGTTTCTGGCTTCACTGCCAATTTATTCCCTCTGTGGTTCACAAACTGAAAACTAGTTCTGCAGGGGAGAGAGGAAACTCATGCGAGGTACCCAGAATCCCATGGGCGCTTTCCTAGGGGTCAGGGGCTTTTCTCATCAACACCAACCTGCCTGCAAATCTCTGACCGCTGAGCCTTGTGTGCCCTGTAATAGCAGCCGAGCTGCTAATGCCCTGTAGCTCGGGCCCCAGTGCTGGTTGCCAAGAAACTGCTGGTCGGGGTGCTTATGAGGGTTCTGACCTCATAGGGGCTGCTGAGTTTCAATTCAACAGACCTTTATTAACACCTACTGTGTGCCCAACCTGTGCTAGGAGCTGTGGGGAGTGAAGGGAAGGAGGTGGCAGGGTAGAGATGACTAAGACACAGAAACAATCAGAGGCGAGGACAAGCAGCCAGGCCAGTGGCTGGTCAGGTGCTAATTGTGCTCCTTGGAGCAGAGGCCAGCGCGGCCAGGACTCTGAGGTCAGCAGCAGCTGGAGGAGGGAGGGAAGGCTTTGTGAGGGATGCGGGCATGAGCTAGACCTTGAAGGGGGCGGGGCAGCGAGGGGGAGACTTGGCTCAGCAGAAAAGGGAGAAAAGACGCCTTTCTCTCTATTCCCTGGCCACCGACTGACCTTCAGAGCCTGGATAATTGTTTAGTAAATGCATGTCACATAAAAGACCAGGTCAGCGAGTGCGGGTGGCTTGGTGCAAACTCTGATCTCCACTTTAGGAGATACAAAGTGGTCTGCCCAGACAGTGAGCCCAGTGTGTATTGATACAACACAAAGGGTGGCCAGGCTTTCCTGCCACCCAAGCTGAGGGGATTTCATTCTGATCCCCACCACCCCCCAACACACACAGGCCCTGGGGGGTAGGGAGAGAGGAAAGAGGTAGGGGACACTGAAGTGACATGCCACAAGTGTTCACCACAGACAGGCTGGTCGGGTCCTACCTTTCGCCAGGGTTTTGAGATTTCTCTGGAAGCCCAGAGGTTCAAGTGGAGGACAGAGATTTTCATAATTGCCCCTCTCCCCACACAGCCACCTGGGAACTGAAGGGTCCAGACCACCAAGGATTAGCTACATATTTGTTCTGCTGCTTTTGTGTCTTCCCTGGCTGGGTGTAAAGGGGGCCTTGGATCTTGTTGTGTTTAATTAGATAAAAACACCCGGACATACCCCCACACCCACATTCATTATTTTTCCTCTCAGTACCCTCTTGCTTTGCCCCCTCCCCAGCACATTTCAAACACTGAAGGGGCCCTGACTTCTGGGCTGGGAGATTGTGTCCTACAGTGAGTTTCTTGGCAAAGAGATCCCAGTCTGCTCCTGGGGCGAGGAGGAGGCTCAGGCAGCAGGGAAGGGTGTTTCACACAGGAGGATCTGCAAGGGAAAGTGCTGGAATATGTTTCAAAGAAGCCAGCAAGAAACAAGAGGTTAAGCAGCTTGCCTAGGTTAAGCAAGCTTTGTGGTGGGTTACCACTTTCTAGATGGGCCATTTTGTCATCCCAGCATTGTCACTTCCTGCCTCTCTGTCCATCTGCCTTTCCTGAAGCAGCCTGCCCCTTCTAGTTTGACCCAATATTCTTCTCCAGAAGCATTATTGTCTAGAGGAGAAAGAACACAGGTATATCCCAGGTCTGCCACTTACTGGCTGTGTGACTGTGAGCTAGTTACTTAACTTCTCTGGGACTCAGGGCCAACTTCACAGGGTCAGAGTGAGGATTAAAGGAGATAAATGCACGTGAAGCACTCAGCATAGTGCCTGGCACATAGTAAACCACCCAGTAAATATTCTGTGCTGTTATTATCATTTCCTGTGGCTAATATTGTTGTTGTCGTTATCATTTCCCCTCTACACACACTTGACTTTGCCAGGCTCCTGGAATCAACCACCTCTCTGACAGTGCTGGCAGGGTACACCACGCCCATTCCTGAAACCAACAGGGAGATTTTCCACGTTTTTC